ATATTATGTAAACAAAAACGTTTATTTTGGATGTGATTAATCGCGATTAATTGTTTGACAGCACTAGAAAACAAATCTGTTAAAACCGTAATATTGTGAAATACTATTACAAAATAAAAAAATAACTATTTTCTGTCCTTATTATTATTATTATTATTGATGATCAATCATTAATAACAGTTCTCATTATTATCACTGTTGAAAATTTTGTGATTAAATTTTTTTAGGATTCTTTGATAAATAGAAAGTTCAAAGGAACAGCATTTTTTTGAAAAAGAAATCTTTTGTAACATTTATACATGTTTAAAATATATTAAAATACAAAAGGTATTTTAAATTGTATTTATATTTCATTATATTGTTTTATTTACTGTATCAAATAAATGCAGCTTTGTGAGCATAGAAGACTTCTTGCAAAATCTCTTAATTATTCCAAACTTTTTACCAGGAGTGTAGCTTGAATCTTGGATTTAAAGTTTAAAATCCAACCAAACCAACATCATAAAACCTGTTGTGCGGATTTATAGACATTTATAGACACATTTTTTAATGAAAGCACTGCACTTACCCAACCCCACATGCCAATTCTGTCTTTGTCAATGAAACCCATTTCAATGAACTTTCTGAAATTAAACACAAATTCACAGGAAACACAATTACTAAGATCTTTTGTAGATGCTAGTTTGTCGCTTTTCATGAAAATCTCATGATCGCTTTGCTTTCAGTCAACTCTGCTAGCGTTTGACCTCTATCAACTCGTTTTTGACACATGCTTCATGACAAGCTCGTTCTCTCTTGTAGGAGGCTGACAGGACTCACGTCTGCCTCGTATCTGTTATGCGTCTGTGAGTGCTACATCAGGCTAAATGTGTGCACATCGTTCCTCCGCCTCACCTCACGGCCGAGATTTGATCTTCCACCTCGTATGTTCCCAGCCGGCCGTAGATGGCGTGCATTATCTCATCACCCTGGTAACCGCTTCCCCTGCCGTCAAAGCTGGCGATGATGACCTTGTCTGTGCTGCACAGGTACGTGGCCCACTCCAGGCGAAACACATAGTCTGTATTCTGGCTGGCTGGGCCGCCATATCTGTGAGTGTGGAAATAACACAAATCTAAAGAATATATTCATGTCGTAAAATATATTTTTGTAATGGAGGAGACTATTTTCTTTGAAATGCGGTTTGGGTAGCTGACAAGAAATCGTTGCTGTGTGCTATACTTCATCTAAACTGATTTTAAAATGCATTTTGCTAATTATTTTATGATTATTATGCATTCAGCTAGAATGGGGTTCATTTTAATTGAGAGACTACATGAAATTTGAACTTTTGAAAATTAATTTGTCTTTATCAAAATTTTTTACATTTGTACATTTATTATATACACTACCATTCAAAAGTTTGGGGTCAGTAATTGTTTATTTTAAGAAATGTATACTTTTATTTAGCAAGGATTCATTAAATTGACAGCAAAAGTGACAGTTAAGACTTTTACATTGGTACCAAAAAAAAAAAATATTTTAAATAAATGCTGTTCTTTTGAACTTTCTATTCATCTGAAGATCCTGAAAAAAATTATATCATGGTTTCCACAAAAATATAAAGCAGCACAGCTGTTTTCAATGATTTCTGAAGGATCATGAGACACTGAAAAACACTGAAAATTCAGCTTTGATCACAGGAATAAATTACATTTAAAATATATCTAAAAAGTAAACAGTTATTTTCAATTGCAATATTTCCAGATAATAGTGTTTTTATTGTATTTTTGATCATATAAATGCAGCATTGGTGAGCAGAAGAGACTACTTTCAAAAACATTAAAAATCTTTCCAAACTCAAAATTTTGAACCAAAATGTATGAGCTGTGATTAAATAAAAAAAAACAAAAAAAAACACTGTAACTCACACTTGAATGAAAAGAGGGTACTTTTTGGAGGAGTCAAAATTCGGTGGGAACATCATCTGATACCAGAGGTCTGGAGAAACATAAACAACATGAAAGGCTTTAGATAAATATGCTACCTAAATCCTGTTTGCCAAGAATGCTTAAAAATGTTGCACGTACTGAATCCTGCGATCTTCATTGTGGCACGTTTGATGGTTGGCATCAGAAGCTCAGTAGTCAGAATTTTTTCCAGTTTCTTATTGTCCTCAAGGACCTGAATCTCTAATACAAAAAAGAAAAAAACAGCACCAACTTCTAGGTTAGTAAATGAAGATAGAAATGTGATTTTAATGAACTATTCCTTAATTTACATAGCTGATGTTGTAAAGTGGTTGGATTAAACGGATACTAGCACACCTTTAGCAGGCCCTCTGTTGTCCATCAGTGTAAACAGCGGAAGTCCTGGTCCTGTAAAATCAGTGTTTATTAGATTGAGCACACACTCTCCTCTCTCAGTCACCTCAGATCAGCCGAGGTATCGTTCAGCTGTTTGTCATGAGTGAATCTCACAGGCGTGAAAGCGTGCTCACTAACCGTAGCAGTCCATACGGAAGAAAGAGGCGTTCAGGCTGAAGTAAGC